GGTCGCCCGAGACGCCCGGGAACGCGAGCAGCGCGCCCCCGAGCGCACGCGGCCGCGGAATTGCTCCGCGGTGGGGAGGCCGTGCCCAGGCACGACCACTGAAAGGCCCGCCCGCGGGCCTCGCCCGCGCCGACTTGAGCCCGAGAGGGGGCGAACATGACGGAGGGGAAAGGCGGCTAACAGACCACGATGGGTAGAGTAAAATCAAGTTAGCGAACACCTATGGGAGGGCGACGACGAGTCTGGTCCTGTGTGGTCTTGTCTGCTGCCTGGTCTAATCTGGTGTTGCGTGATTTGGTCTGGCGGGGTGGAGACGCTCAAGTGCTTAGGGGGCTTCCACAAGAATGCATCACACACAGCGAAACTTTATTAAACATTGAGCTCTGCACGTCGACTGGCGGGGTGGAGAAGGAGGACGAGAAAGAGGAGCGGGATAAACGGAAAGGTCGGGAAGAGCAGGAGCAGGAACACGGCATGAAGAAACACGTTCGGCGCCCTTCTTTGGAGTCTCGTAGGGCTCTATTGTGAGTGTCTATGTGTGTGTGTGCGTGTGTGTGTGTGTGTGTGTGTGTGTGTGTGTGTGTGTGTGGGGGGGGGGGGGGGTAGGGGGAGCTTCGCGGTGTCTCTTGAGGCTTCCTCGGCCATCTTGGGAAGCTACTCGGCAACCTTGTGATTCATTATGACTGAAGGATTGCTGTCTTTGAGCTCGCATGCGTGTCAATAGCACTGTCAGGTGGCTGAGCAATCCACAAAACGCCTTCAGATTACACCCCCGCCGATGACATGAGACATCTCACACCTCGCCAGGCAAGCTGCTTGGGCTGTCTTCGGCGTGTCGAAACGCATGCTTCCCCGTCTGGAACGCCCGTCCATGAAAACACGCGGCGACATTCCCCGACCTTGAATTAAGCTGACGGGCGGACTCGTTCACTAGTGGGTGCCATGCTGACTCTCTCGTGGCCGAATTTTGTTCAACGACAGCTTCGCTAGCTGATACTGGGCGTTCCGGGCGCACTGGATTGCCAAACGAATGCTCTGCATTTTCTGCCCAAGAGACGTATGTCAAATTGCATAGGCTGTCATTTGCACGATCGCTGTCAAGATGCTATGACCCCCATGGCGTTCTGGATCTGATGGCTGGCCGGTGAAGTGCGAGCTACAAGCCGATGAACATAAAAGAGAAAGCGTGATCCACCGCCGCTTTACTGTGGAAATTTTCTTCCCCTCTTCCTCCGGAGCCCGGGGGTCCCCTCCCCCCCCTCCGAAAATCCCCCCCTCCTGCTGGAGCCCCCCCCCCTTCCCCCCTTCCCCCTGGCAAAGCCCCCCCCTCCCCCCCCCTCCGGAAAACTGGGGTGGTCACTACCAGTTCGATACCCCCCCCCACACACCCCGTCTGGAAAACCAGAAGGGGTCACTACTACCGGTTCGAACCCCTCCCCCCCCTCCCCCCCTTTGGAAAACCGGAAAAGGAGGGGGGGGTCACTACCAGTTCGAACCCTCACCCCCCCTCCAAATAACGGGGGGTGGGGTCACTACGGGTTCGACGCCCCCTCCCCCTCTCCAGAAAACCGGGGGGGGGTCACTACCGGCTCGAACCCCCTCCCCCCCACGATCACCGCCAGCAAACGACTCCCAGGTCCCTACCACCGTCCGCACCACATCCCCCACTGCTGTCCCCAGCACCACTGTCCTCACCACCACCGTCCCCGCTGTTCCCACCACCGTCCCCACTCTCCCCACCAGTGCCCCCACCACTGTCGCACTGTCCCCACTGTCCCCGCCACTGTTCCCACCACGGTCCCACTCCCCACTTTCCCCACGGCCCCAACCATTGTCCCAGTGCCCCCAGTGTCCCACTGTCCCCGCCGCTGTCCCACTGAGCTGTCCCACTGTTCCCAACACTGTCCCCAGTCCCCACCACTGTCCCTACTGCACCTCTGTCCCATTGTCCCACCGCCGTCCGCGCCACCGCCCTCACCATTGTCCCCAGTGTAACCTCCACCTTCCCACTGTTTCCACCACATTCCCACTGTCCCCACACCACTGTCCCCACCACCACCGTCCCCACCACTGCCCCGCTGTCCCCACAGCTCCCACCATTGTCCCCGCTGTCCCCACCAGTGCCCCCACCAGTGTCTCACTGTCCCCACCATTGTCCCACCACGGTCCCACTCTCCCCACTTTCCGCACGGTCGCCACCATTGTCCCTCTGTCCCCATCACAGTCCCACTGTCTCCACCACTTTCTCCACTGTACTACTGTCCCACCACTGTCCTCACCACCGCCTTCACTACTGTCCCCACCACTACCGTCCCCACCACTGTCACACTGTCCCCACCACTGTCCCGCTGTCCCCGTACCGCTGTCCCCACCACCACCGACCCCACCACTGTCCGCACCACTGTCCCACTATCCCCGCGCCATTTTCCCCACCACCACCGTTCCCACCACTGTCCCAGCATCTCCACAATAGTTCACCTGTCCCGAGGAGCGGGGATCGTTTGCCGGCGGCGAAGGGGGGGGCGGGGTCGAACTGGTAGTGACTCCCCCCGGTTTTCGAAGGGGGGGGGGGTCGAACTGGTAGTGATCCCCCCCCTCCTTTTTATGATGGACTGGGGGGGGGGGGGGGTTCGAACCGGCAGTGACCCCCCTCCCGAATTTCGAGGGGGGGGAGGGGGCGGGTTGGGAACCCCCAGTGACCCCCCTCTGGTTTTCCGCCAGCAGCGGTAAAACACGCTCTCTCACATAAAGGGGACGCCCATTGTTGACGCGGGCCTTTTAAGTAGCGATCGGCACATCGCGCCCCAAGTCACACAACTCGTTTAAGACTTCACACGGACTTGGCAACTAATTATGCAATTCAGTGGTGTCCAAATGTCTGGATGCAAAGCATGTCTCCGCGTCTCCCAAGGAATTTGCCCCTGCGTCCCCAAACTTGCGTATCTGAACAAGTCACTGCCAGCTCGTCTTAGCAATTGCCGACAACAACTTGAAATAGATGCCGCGGGCGAACTCCGTAGTTCTGCAGCTTGCTTCATCGCTCAACAAGAAAAAAACTCGCTTGTCCCAATCGACCTTCCCAACCCTGACCTTTCCCGACACCTCCAGTTGAGATTATCCGCCACTGTGCCGCGAGGAACTGAGTGGAGTGTCCTCGGGTCCCTCCGAACCCTCTGTGACGAGGACTGTAGATAGTCCGGATTTCATAATAGAAGGGGTGGCGGTCTGACTTTGGGGAGGTCTGGTTTGAACGGTCTTGGTAGAGGAGGGTTCCAGTGGAGTCTGGGCACAAGGCCGCCCCTTCATGTCCGTTCTGGGGGGTCTGAACTTGCTCCTCTGGCAGGGTTGTGGCCCCCCCCCTCTTTCTGACTCTAGATTGCTCCTCAGGGGGCCCAGACCGTAGATTGCCAGAACTCTCGGGCGCTCTTGAGCGCCTCGTGGACGTCGCCTGATACCCCCCAGGCCTGTCGCACGACTTCTCTCGAGACCGTGGGACCATGCCTTCCACGCGCCCTCGGACGGCCCATCGGCTGCATGCAGCTGGTGTTCCCGGCGGAGCGGCCACGCATCGAGCGAGGCGAGCGCCCCGCGGCGGGGCCGAAACCAGCGGCACACAGCAGAATACGCGCAACTCGACGTCTGAGCCAAACAGAGAAGGTGTGCAGGAAGGTGACGTAAAGTAGTGCCGTCCTCATGTGCTCGCGGCCGCTTGACCCTCGGCGCCAGATTGGCCGAGAGCAAGAAGTAGTCTATCACCGAATGCTGCTCAACCCTGCTGGGCCTGCAAGTGGCCTCATCGGTCGCCAAAGCGAAGCCAATACGATGACGCAGCCAAGGAGCCTCCAACATGTCCACAGGCATGCTGAAATCTCCAGCCACCATCTAGTCCAACTAGCTTAGCAGCGTAGTGAGCAAGAACTCAGAGGACCTCTGGGTTACAATCACTCATCCCAACCAGGCGCTGAAGGTAGATGATGAAACCAGTCACGCCCGATCTCACCCCCCATTGAACGTGTGCCGCGGCAAGCCGACCAGGCACGAGGATAGGAGAGAGCAAACATTGCGGACACGTCAAAGGAATAGAAGACCTCGCAAGAATGGCACACCCACTAGACACGCTTACGCACCCTCCAGGAGGATATTGCCGAAGACCAGACTCCAGTATACCCATAAGTCCCGAGTCTGATGTTGAAGGCTGCCCAAAGACTCACCAGCATGACGATGAAGGATGAGGAGGAGGAAGAGTAGGTGGAGGAGGAGGAGGAGGAGGAGGAGGAGGCTGCGGGATTGTGCCCAGCAGGGAGTTGCACGTACAGCCTCACCGGGAGGACTCGCGTATCTTCTCCCCGCATGGTTCGCCCCACACTGCACACAGATCGTGCCCCAGAGGGAGCTCCTCCGACGGCGACAGACATACTGTAAAGTTCGCAACCCGCCGCCCCGTCCATGCCGGCGCAACCACGACATGGATCGTGCCCCACAGGGAGCTCCGACGTACGGCCCCACTGTTCAGCCCGTCGGGGGCCTCTTGGGCCACCTGAGACGCTCGTCCCGCCCCGGACCCAGCCCGACACCCCGCCGCCCCATCCCGGACCCAGCCAGGCACCCACCCCGCCGTCGAACCCTGGTGCCGGGCCGGACACCCCGCCCTCCGAGAAGCCCACGACCTGGACTCGCGGCCGGAGCCTCCTGGCCCACAGGCTGGGCGGGGCGCGAGCACCGGCCCAGAGCCCCGACAGGCACACCGGGCCTGGGCCCGACGTTGCACGCGGCAGGCTCGTGCCGTCGACCCGGCGCGGGCGTTGCTGTCCGACGCTTCACGGGTCGCTTCGTCTTGAACGATCGCGGCCGCCTCCCGACAGAGCGTGTCGTTCGAGGTCGGCTGATTCCAGGACGCTGCCGTCGTTCAACCTTGGACGCCCGCGCTGGGGCCGCCGCCGCGTCAGCGCGGCGCGAGCCCCACCACCTGGCTGCGGGCCACCGAAAAGCTCCCCGCTCTCCTGGACAAGTCGAGCTCCTCCAAGGCGGAGTTGTCCTGGAGCGCTGCGCCCATCCACTCGCCGCCCTGGGCGCGGATGTCGTTGTCGGCTAGCTTCATCGCGCGCAGCGTCTGGTTCCCCAGGAGCATCTCTGCGATGTGCTCGGCACCCTTGTCCTGACAGTGGTTGCCGCTAAGGTCCAGCCTGGTCAGGGTGGTGTTGCCCTGGGCTGTGCAGGTCAGGACACGCGCCAACGCCTCCCGTGGACTTCTTTATTCAATGCTTGTTTTTGCACCCGCACTCATCTATAACACTGACATCGCGTAGCTCCTTCCATGGATGTCGGACGCCTCCCATGGATGTCCAAAGGCTGCCCTCGCTCGCAGATCGATCGAGCGGGCTGCGCACTTTAACCGATCGAATCGAAGCCACTGCGTGGAGGAGGGGAAGAGGCTCAGCAAGGCCCCAAAGACACAGCTTGCCAAACCTTGAACCTCGATGCTCTCCTCCACCGTCTCGCCCAGCAAGAAAACCTGCGCCTCCGACGACCTGCTCCACCACCTTACCCCGAAACCTGCCCGGAACCGCTACCCAGACCCCTCCTGCAGGCTACACGCAAGACGCAACACCAAGCAAGCCTGACCTTTGGTGCGCGGCTGTGGATGGCGCGAGGAGCCAAACCCAAGCGCGAAAGCCGCTGCTACCACATGGTGCTCGGTGATCGGGGAACCCTAGTGGGCCCGCAATATAAAGGTCATTATTCTGGCGAAGGGACCGTCTTACGCGTGGCCGACCGCGAAGTCCATCCTGCCCAGCCTGCCATCCAGGACCGATTACTGCCGGCCCCACTGGGCCCGACGCGTACCGCCAGAGGCCAGACAAAAAGCCGAAACACCTCCGGAGGGATAGGCGACGACGACCACCTCGGTCACTCAGCGCCTTCCTAAAGGCCCGTCGGGGCCTCATGATGATCTCTGCGGAGGAACCGTCAGACAATCGGAGGCCAAATCCGCGCACTCTTCAGCGTGTGGACGACGCTGTCGTCGTCGGCCTCGTCGTCGTCGTCGTCGTCGACCTCGTCATCGTCGTCGTCGTCAGCGGCGGAGTTGTCGGCGTCGTTGTCTTCGGCGTCGTCGTCGTCATCCGCGTCGTGGTCGTCGTCGTCGTCGTCGTCGTCGTCGTCGTCGTCGTCGACCTCGTCGTGGTCGTCGTCGTCGTCGTCGTCGTCGTCGTGGTCGTTGTCGTCGTCGTCGTCGTCGTCGTCGTCGTCGTCGTCGTCGTCGTCGTCGTCGTCAGCGTCGTGGTCGTTGTCGTTGTCGTTGTCGTCGTAGTCGTCGTCGTCGTCGTCGTCGTCGTCGTCGTTCTCCTCGTCGTCGTCGGCGGCGGCGGCGTCGTCGGCAGTCCCAAGGAGATTGAAAAACGTCGTAGTTTACCCGAAGGGAGATGTCCCCCCAAGGTGGGTGGTGGTTGGGTGTGTGGGTGGCGTGTCCTGGGTCAGAGTGCCGGCCCCCCTAGGAGGTCCCGAGAGTGGTCCCCCTGAGGACAAGGGACAAGGGGAAGTCAGGCCCCCCCCCCGTCCCCTCCTGTTCCCCCTGAAGACACGTCGGGGGAGAGGACGCGTCCCCCTGTGGACAAGGAGACCTGAAGTGCCTCGCCATCTCCACCCGACGGTTCACCCGTCTTCCCTTGTGGACATGGGGGACAGGAGGGTGGTCCCCCCTGTGGACAGGGGGAACTAAGGACCCCCGCCCCCACCGCTCCTCCTGTGGACAATGGAGAGAAGGGGAACTCCCCCCTGTTCCCCCTGTGGGCACGAAGAACCACCAGCTCCGCCTCTGGGATCCTCCACCCAGAAACACCCTCCTCGCTGATATCTGCTGTTGCGAGGTGCTGCGTCGTCGTCGCCGTCCCCCTTCAGGGTCCGCGGCAAAGGCCGCAAGGCCTTTGCAATACTGGTCCAAAACCTCGATCGCAGACCCCCTTCCTCGATCAATCCTCGACCTCGATCCAGAAACTCAATCCTCCGTCAAAGCCTCATTCCTCGGTTCAGAACCTCGATCCTCGATCCGTAACCCTGATCCTTGATCCAGAACCCCGATCCTGCACCACAGCTGATGCACAACCTGCATCCTCGACAGTCCTCCCCACCCGCGAGGGAGCATCTGCACCTCCTCGATCCGCAAGCCACCTGCTCGTTTCAGAGCCCCTGTTTGGACAGAGGGTGGGGGAAAGAGAAGGGCGGGGATCACGCGAGCCATCGCACTCCTTCAAAGTCCGGCCGTCAAGCGCACGCAGCCTCACTGCGGGAGCTATCGGGCCCCTGTTTAGGGGAGCGAAAAATGACATAACCATAAAAACTCGGAAGTCCGCGCGGATTTCTCGGATCGGCGCTGGCCACTTGTCGGCGCCTCCGGCGCCGCCCCTGGCGCGCTCCGCGCGCCAGGGAGGGGGGTCAAGCGCCGATCCGAGAAATCCGCGCGGCCCTTTGAGTTTTTATGCTTATGTCATGTTTCGTTCCACTTTTGTTGGCGATCCATGGGCAACTGCTGGCCGCTGCGTGCCCGACCAAATCAGCCGATCCCTCCCCCCCCCGCTCCTGCTGCCCAGGCGGCGCGGTGGCGGGGGGAGGAAGGCCGAAGAACAATTTTTCTTGCCGCAGCGCGGCAGAGGCGAGCCGCTCGCGCGCTCCAGTAGCAGGTCGGGCACGTCCTCCTGCAGGCGGATTTTGGAGGAGCAGTTGAAAAATTGGCAAACACTGCTCCCAAATAGCCAAATCATAAGCAAATCGTTCCCATGCTACTATTTGACTATTGTTAACTACTCCTCCTGTGGAGGGACATGCCCGACGTAACTCCAATAGCCTGGGGCGCGTGGCGTACTACTTCTCACCGGCAGCAAGAGGAGGGAAGGAGAAAGAGAGCGGCCGCGGAGAGCAGGCGGAGAAAAGGGGGGGCACGCACCCCACAGAAAGAGCTTCGGCAAGCGTGGCCGGAGCGGCCAGCCTGTGCCAGGAAGGCCAGGGAACACGCAAGCCACCGCATTCCTTGGGGATCTGTAGAGGAAAGAAAACGCCATAAACATAAACTTTTGGCGCTCCGCACGGATTTCTTGGATCTGCGCTGGACACCCCCGGCGGCGCTGGAGGCGCCGCCCCTGGCGCGCTCCGCGCGCCAGGGAGGGGGGTCCAAGAACGCGCGGAGCGCCAAAAATTAATGGTTATGGCAATCTTTCTTCTTCGGATCTACTGACCGTGTCAATCCAAACCAGGGCCAGTCGGGCCTTGTAGGATCCTGCAAAATCCTGCAGGATCCAGCCAGATTCTGAAGGATCCTACGCCCAAGCCTGGGACAGTACACCCCTGGGACTGCAGGGTCCTGCAAGATCTGGCGCTCTGGCTGACCCCGTTTGCATTGACCCCCGTCCCTTGACCCCCAATAGTTTGGTATAGCATTTGCAGCGAGCGCATCATCATCATCATCATCATCATCATCATCATCAGCATCATCATCATCATCATCATCATCATCATCATCATCATCATCATCATCATCATACTCATACTCATACTCATACTCATACTCATACTCATCATCATCATCATCATCATCATCATCATCATCATCATCATCATCATGTCCGTCCCTTGAGCCCCCGAGCATTCCTCCAAACTCTGGCCCCCCGGCCCTCGCGGGCGGCAGCACGTGTCGACGTCCGCGGCCTCGCGGGACGGGCCCTCGGGCAGCGGCCCCAATGACATACGGGGCGTTGCTGTCGCGGTCGCCTCGCGCGGAACGCCTCCATTCGGCAAGACGTGTCCGCGGGACCGCGCGCCCCAGGATCCAGCCCACGAGGGCGTGGGCGTGGACATGGACATGTTCGCCGCCCGAGACGCATGCCCGGCCCGACGCAAAAAACCCTTGACCCTCCCCCCCCCGAAAAGAGCACCTGCGGCTCCGCCAGGAGATGTCAGAATCGAATCGATACGTCGGATCGGCGATCGAAATAACATCGGATCGGCGGAAATCGGCAGGCTGATAAAGCCTCTCCATTGAGAAACCAGAATCCAAGCCGGAATCCGAAGCCGAAGCCGAATCGGAATCCACCGAAATCGGATCGAAACGAACTGGAGGAGTCGAAATGAGCCCTGCCTCCACGCCCTCGGCCCGCACCATGCAGTAGGGGAGGCAGACCGCCCGGAGCGGGGGCAGCTCCGAGGCCAGCAGCTCCGCCAGCGCTGCGGCGCCCCCGGCGCGTACGGGGTTGTGGCCTCGGGCGGGCAGCGAACGTGTTGCACCTACAGCTGCATGCACGTGCTGTGTGCGCATGTACATGCGCCCACACAGACAGATGCGTGTATAGATGCACAAATAACACACACACACATTTACATACACATAACCACACACACATGAACAGCTACATCCATATATGCACAAGCACATGCAGATAACTATACACTTACATGTGCGCACAGATCCTATGCACATGGCAACGTGTGCACACATGTATTTCTACGTCTGCATGTTCGAATACAACTGCACACACGTATACACGTGCACATGCATATACATTTACACATGCATATACATATACATTTACATATTCAGGTACATATATGAATATACAGATACATATGCATATTCATGCACGTCAGCATATACCTGTACATTTACAATACACATCCGTGTACATACCCATATGCAGAAGCATCTACATCTACATACACAACTGCATCTACAACTACAGCTACACATATATATATATATATATGTATATATACAGTCATGTACATTTGCATGTGCATGTGAATCTGCATATGCATATACGCATGCCTTCTTCCGTGTACGCATGCACATGTACAGGCATATACAAAGCCAACTACGCATACACTTATACACATACATGTATGCATGCATGTACGGCTACGTATACACAGAAGTTCACACGCACACATATACACGTATACATACATCAACACATGTATACTATCATATAACATTACCCTCGGACCCCCCATCATACACTTGCAGACCCCCCAAACGCCGTTAACCGCCCTCCAGAGCCCAGAAGATGGCCCCAGGCAGCCGCCCAAATGACCCGGGATTGCTTGAGATCCTCCCACGGACGGGCCCCAGGCCGCTCAAGAATGCAGACGGGTCTCCCTGAATGTTTCCGAAACGATCGGGGACAGCCCCAGATTGTCTCCAGACGGCTCCAGAAGCTCCTCGGACTCCTCGAGAAGGCACCCAGATCCCAATGAGGGCGCCAAGAGGCAAACAAACATTGATTGTGCGATGGTTGTAAATAACAATTTAGCGTTCTCGTTTTCCTCTCGTCCGATCGACCGAGACGGCCCAAAGAGGCCCCCGAGATCGCCCCAAGACGGCCGAAGAGGCCCCCACGACGGCCCCACCAAGACGGCCCAAGAAGCCCCCCCAAGAAGGCCCAACACGCATCCAAGAGCGCCCTAAGAGACCCAAGAAGACGTGACAACACACTGGCCCCCAAGAGGCCCGCGGAGGCCCAGAGGCCCCGCAGATGTGCCCGAGAGGTCCCAAGAGGCCGCAAACATGGCTCCAAGAGGCCCCCGAGAAGCCTCCCAGGAGACCCCAATAAGCCACCAAGAGGCTTCGAATAACATCTCGACCCCCCATGAGATCTGGGGGGGAGGGGGGGCATCACGCCATCACTTCCCCTCGAAAGCTACCAAGACGGCCTCGGACAACCCCCGCCCCCTTTCCAGAGTCCCCCGAACTGCTCCAGACCGCCTCTCAGTGGCCCTCGAATTCCGAAGAGGTGCTCAAGAGGGCACCAAAACAGCTCCGAGAGATCCCCAAGACGACCAAGACGGACACGGACGGCCACGGGTGGCGGCAAGATGGCCCAACACGCGCCCACCCCGAAAACGCACGCACCCAGAAGGCTGAAATCATTGAAAAACAAACTGGTGTCGAAAGTGTGACCGCCAGTTCGGGCTTCGCAGCCTCCGAGATCCCAGGATCGCCCCAAGACGTCACAGACATAGCCCAAACGGAGGCCCAATGCATCCCAAGAGGGAAATCACGCCCCTTGAGGGTCCCAAGAGAGCCTGGCCCGGAGGGGCCAAAGTTGGTCCAAGTAAGAAGGGGCCTTCCGAAGGAACCCAACACGGCCCAAGAAGGTTCAAGAAGGCTTCCAGTGAGCCCTAAACGCCGCAGTGGGCACAACAAATCGGCTGCCCGAAAAAGCTCCGAGAAGGTCTCACGAGAGCCCGAAGAGCCTGAGATGGTTCCAACGTGGCCCCGAGAGGCTTCGACTGCATCCAAAGGGGGCCCCAGCTATAGCCGCAACGGGTGGGGTGGGCTTCAAAGCGACCCCCAAAGAGTGGCACGACTGCCCCGCGCGGGCGGAGGAAGAGGGGAGGCGGGGAGGATCACCAAACGGAGCACCAGGAGGAGGAGGAGGAGGAGGAGGAGGAGGAGGAGGAGGAGGAGCAAACGGAGCACTGGGAGGAGGGAGATGAGGAACCACCCTCCCTCGTCTCTTCATCCTTGCTCCCCCGCCCCCCTTCCTTCTTCGTCTCATCATGCAGGCTCAAAGCAGCCGTTGGCACATGCACTGGACGCCGCTCCTGCTAGAATTTCTGTCTCGCATCGGCGATCCTTGCACCTTCTTTCATAGCGGGCCCCTGAGGGGCCACGGTCGGTATCCTTAGGTCGGGCATGGCCTCCTACAGGCGGATTCTGGGCGAATCTGTAAACACATTCAAACGTAAACACATTCAAATAAAAACAGAAAATGACAAAACCCAAAAACATCGTCCCGGGCTATTTTCTTGCTACTTTGAATATTCCCACTGTAGAGGGACTCAGGCCCGACTTAACGATATCCCCCTCGCGCCCACAACAGCCCCAAGCCTCCAGCCTGGCAGCGCTCAGCAGCAGCGAGAGAAGCCGAGTGCCGGGCGCGCACCCGAGGAGACGGGAAAGCCGAGCGGAGCGGCAGCTCCTCCGCGCTCTCGGGGAGCCCTCGCGCCGCGGCGCCCTCGCGCCGGGGGAGCCCTCGCGCCGCGGGACGGGGGTCGACTGGCACGGTGCTATGCTTCTTCGTTCTGTCTTCGTCTGCCCTCGTTCTGCCTTCCTCCTCCTCCTCCTCCTCCTCCAACTCCTCCTCCTCCTCCTCCTCCTCCTATCCTCCTCCTCCTCCTCCTCCTATCCTCCTCCTATCCTCCTCCTCCTCCTCCTCCTCCTCCTCCTCCTCCTCGTCCTCGTCCTCGTCCTTCCCTCCGCCTTGGCTGCAAACAAATAGAAGTCGAAACGGGGCCGGCCCACGAGATCGCCAAAGCGCCGTCAGGGTCGACCCCCTGGCGAGGGACTGCGCCCAGGGAGCGCGCGGCCCCGCCCGCAGCCGAGGCCTGCCAATGGGGCCGCACAGCGCAGCCGCAGCCGACTCGCGAGCGCCCCGCGAGCGCCCGCGCCGCCAGCCAGGAGGGGGCACGTGCCCTCCTGGCTCACTGCGCAAGTTGCGCGCGGGATTGATGTGGATAGGCGGATGGGGAGGAGGTCAGCGCATAACGACGCTGATGACGCCGATGATGATGATGCTGCTGCTGCTGATGATGATGATGATGATGATGATGATGATGATGATGATGATGATGATGATGATGATGATGATGATGATGATGACGTCTCACTGCCTTACCTCCGCAGAGCGGCGCGCCTCGGTGGACGGCGTCGCCAGGTGGGGATCACGAAGAACAGTGCGGCACGGCGCGAGGAGGAGGAGGAGGCAGCAAAGGAGGGGAAGGGGGGGGCGGCACGAGGGATGAGGCAGGACGAGGGGAGGGATAATGACGCATGCAGGAGGATGCACATCGAAGCAAGCGAAGGGCACTGTTTTGAGTCTGGGGCAGTGCCTCGGCGTGCGGTCGCGTTCGCCCAAGGCCCGCCACTGGCGGCCTCCATGAATAGGGTCAGAGTGGATGCGGTCGGAGAATCGCGCAGCATCGCCGCTGCATCGCCGCTGCATCGCCGCTGCATCGGCGACGCATCGCCAAGGCACCAGCGATGGCCTGGAGAACGTCGGGCTCCGCGCCGAGCCGCATCGCCGATGCAGCGGCGATGCGGCGCGACCCTCCGACCCCGTCTGCGCGGACCCCGCCGGAGAGGCCTGGAGCCCCAGCCGCAACGGTGCGCCGCCCTGGCGAACCCCAGCGGCCGGGCGCACGCCCGGCGGGGCGTTCGCGCCGCCCCGCGCGCCGGGCGGGGCCGGCCCTTCAGCGCCAACGCTGTCGTCATCGCCCTTGTGGGCACGACGGATCGGTTGAACGATGCCGCGCCTACGCGCCGTGCCCCTCGGCCGGCGGCGCGGCGGGGCGCGCGGCGCTCTCCTCGGGGCGGGGGCGGGGGCGGCCAGGGGGCGGGTCTGCGGCGCGCCGGGGGGGGCCGAGGCCCAGGCGCCCTCGAGGCTTCGAGGCTCGAGGCTTTCGTCGGGTCGGGCATGTCCTCCTCCAGGGGGATTTTGGAAGAGAGGCCGGAGCATAGTCAGAACATATGCTCAAACACAGACCCAAAATACCGGCGAAATCGTCCCCGGACTAGTTTTTGATATGCCTCGCCTCCAGTAGGGGGGCACGCCCGACTGGAGGCTTTCGGGCCTTCGCTGCCCTGATACGCTTGCCTTGCCGCACGTGCTGTGTTCGCAACGTCCGCGTTGACACGCTGCGCGCTGACTCGGCTCGTTCTTCTGTGCCTTTTTTAAACTTATTATTACCACCGCAAACACTCCACCTGCCACGAACCGTAGCAACTGGAAGGCCCAGCCGGCAAGAACCGCGTCTCCACTCCATGGAGCTATAGTTTCGAAAAGGTTTAACAGGGATAGCGGCTCGTTCTTCTGTGCCTGGCAGGGATGGGGGGAGCGCGGCAGGTCCACGCCGTCACGACCCCTGAGATCCCTGCGTCCCAGGCAGGCTCGCGTCGTGAACCAAATCGGGGAGGGAGCTTTCTCCCCGTTTTTCTGGCCCCTGGGGGTCCTCACCGGGCCTGGGGACCTTCAACGAAACAATTCGGGATGAGAGACAAGTCCTGCTTGGATCGCCGCGGTGGTTGCTAATGGAATGGGATGTTAGAAGTGGATGCGAAAGTTGGATTTATCTGGCCTAACCCAACTTAGAAGTGGGTTACTACAAGTGCCCTGTGTGGCTTAGGTCGATGAGGTAACTCCGCTAAGTGGGCTCCGCCCACTTAGCCCAGACCTGTACGCCCTTAAGCTACTTAGGGCACCTCCAACCCACTTCTAAGCTAGGCTAGTACAGATAGAACCCACCTTGGCATCCACTTCTATCCCCTTATCCTCTTAGCAACCCCAGCGGCGATCCAAGTGGGGAAGGGGTCAGGACGTCCGGGGACCCTGCATGGAACAAGTCAAGATATCGCATGTCTGGGGCTACAGATTCTTCACGCCGGCCGTCTTCGCCCCGTCTCCTCGGGCCCCGGGACCCTCACAGAGCGATCTGGCGCGAAAGATTGCGCAGAAAGGTGTAGGCTGGGGCTGCTGTAGCGTTTTTTCGCGATGTTGCATGTGCCCTGCAATGTCAGATCTCAAGGTCCAGGGGGGGGAGGGGGGGCGGGCCCGACGAGACGGGGCCCCGAGGCCCTGGGGCCTAGCGGGCGAGGCGGCCTTGAGCAGTGCAGCTTTTCAGCCTGGAAGCCCTTCCCTGCCGATTCGTATCCTTGACGACCCCAGCGTTGGTCTAGGTCGGGCCTGTCCCCTACAGGGGGATTTTGGACGAAAAGTGCTCAAATATTTAAAACAAATCCCAAGGCTATTTTTTGACTATTTTTGAATATTAGAGGGACAGGCCCGACTTAAGCGTTGGTCTCTGACACCGCGCGGATCGTTCAGCATCGGCGGCTACTCGATCGGCAGACCTTTCCCTCTTGACCGACTCTGGGCCGCCGGCCGCGCTCAACCCGCGGCGGGGTCGCCGCCGCGTCGACACGACACGAATCGACCTGATGTAGGAGAGGTGGAGTCACAGGAAGATCGCTGGAGATAGAGAAGAACGGCATAGACATGAACTTTCGCTGCTTCGCGCGGAATCCTGGGATCTGCGCTGGCCCCCCCCCCCGGCGCGCTCCGCGGGTCCGGGGCGGCGCCGGATGGCGCCGCCAGGGGGCCCAGAACCGATCCGATGACCTCCGAACGTCCATCTTTAGACCGTCCTTTCTCCTGCTTGAGCAGGGACCGACCGTCCCGGCAATTCCCATAGGCCTAACACGATATGTTCTCAGAACCAAAGAAGGTCTCAAGAACGGAAGCAGAGTTCTTAGAGCATGAATCCGATGTGTTCGAACACGACGGTCCCAACCAGAAATGTTCTGAGAACACTTCGCGGGCCTGTAGGCGAGCCAGGACGCCTCGCTGCTCCTCGACCTTCGAGTCGCCCGGAACGGCCCCTGGAGGCAGGAAGCGCGAGCACCCGGCTGGGCCCGCTCTGCGACCCCACCTTGGGACAAGCCCTGCCCATGCTGCGGCGGCTGCGGGGACGCACCGACCCGGGCCAGCCCAGGCTCCCAGGACCAGGGCCCTGTCGCGAAGCCCAGCCGGCCGCTTGGTACCTCCCCAACCCCGGGCCAGCGGAGGGCGCGAACGGGGGGGCGGCCTCGCGCGGCTCCCACACCCGGCGGGTCAGCCGGAGGGGATCGGCTGACGCCTGTCAGCCCCGACCCCCGTTGCGTGAGCCCCGACGGCTCCTCCGGGGAGGTGCTCCGGCGCAGCCACTCCCGCGCATCCACCTTCAGGCGCCTCCACTCCTCTGCGGAGCCGCTCAGCGAGATGTTCACCACCATGAGCACATCGGCAGCTGCCTCCTGGGCCGAGGCGGCCTGCTCAGGAGCCCCCGCCTCTTTCGTGGCATTCTCCGTGGCATTCTCTGTGGCATTCTCTGTGGCATTCTCGTGCACATCGCCTGCCTCCTCTTCCTCCTCGTCTTCCTCCTCCTCTGCCGCCTCCTCCTCTTCTCCCTCATCCGCATCATTCTGCTCGTCTTCCTCTGCCTCAGCAGCATCCTGCTTCTCGCCCTCGATGGCCTTGCCCTCGCTGGTGTTCTCCTTGGCGGCTTCTGACTCGGTGGCATTCTTGGCAACCGTCTGCCCGGTGGCATTGTCTTCGGCAGTCTGCTCCTCCTTCTCGTCTTCCTCCGCCTCAAATGTAAGATGACGATTACTCAAAGAATACAAAGGGGAACGACTCACAAAATAGTTTCCGGACCTTCGGTTTCCGCTTCGCTTCGGCCCCGTCTGGCCCGTCGACTTTCGAGGCGCGCGCCCGAGGATGGTGGGAGGGAACGATTGGAAAGTAGTTTCCCAGCCAGGGGGGGCCGTTTTTCTAATCATCATCCTGGGCGCCGCCGCGTGAACACGACCCCCCGAAATTGTCCAATCATCATCCTGCATTGCCGCCTCCTCTGCCTCCTCCTCCTCCTCAGCGGCATTATGCTTTGCAGCGTCTGCCTCATCAACATCCTGCTTCTCGCCCTCGGAGGCATTGTGCTCCGTTTTCAACGCCACGCCCGACGTGCTCTCGGGGACCAACTCACTGGTGGTGTTCTCCTTGGCGGCATCTGTCTTGGTGGCATTCTCGTTCGCAGTATCTTCGACCATGGTGGCATTGTCCTGAGTTTTGAGAGCCGCGTCCGCCCTGGCTTTGTCAGGTGCCAAGCTGCTGGTAGCGTTCTGTGTGGTGCCCCCTGCCCCTGTACCATTTCCAGTCACGGTCCCCGCGGAGCCGTTATCTTCAGCAACCTCCTGCTTCTCCTCGGTGGTATTGGACTCCGTTTTCAGCGCCACGTCCGACGTGTTCCCGGGCGCCAGCTCACTGGTGGTGTTCTCCTTGGCGGCCTCTGTCCCGGTGGCATTCTCGGTAACCGTCTGCGCGGTGGTATTGTCTTTCGCATCCTCCTCGTACTCGATGGCATTGTCCTGAGTTTTCAGAGCCGCGTCCGCCCTGGCTTCGTCAGGTGCCAAGCCGCTGGTAGCGTTCTGTGTGGTGCCCCCTGCCCCTGTACCATTTCCAGTCACGGTCCCCGCGGAGCCGTTATCTTCAGCAACCTCCTGCTTCTCCTCGGTGGCATTGGACTCCGTTTTCAGCGCCACGTCCGACGTGTTCCCGGGCGCCAGCTCACTGGTGGTGTTCTCCTTGGCGGCCTCTGTCCCGGTGGCATTCTCGGTAACCGTCTGCGCGGTGGTATTGTCTTTCGCATCCTCCTCGTACTCGGTGGCATTGTCCTGAGTTTTGAGAGCCGCGTCCGCCCTGGCTTCGTCAGGTGCCAAGCTGCTGGTAGCGTTCTGTGTGGTGCCCCCTGCCCCTGTACCATTTCCAGTCACGGTCCCCGCGGAGCCGTTATCTTCAGCAACCTCCTGCTTCTCCTCGGTGGCATTGGACTCCGTTCTCAGCGCCACGTCCGACGTGTTCCCGGGCGCCAGCTCACTGGTGGTGTTCTCCTTGGCGGCCTCTGTCCCGGTGGCATTCTCGGTAACCGTCTGCGCGGTGGTATTGTCTTTCGCATCCTCCTCGGAGGCATTCTCTTGGGCAGTGCCTGACTCCTGTTCCTCCTCACCCTTCTCCTGCGCCTTCTCCTCCTCCTCCTCCTCCTCCTCCTCCTCCTCGGTTGCATCCTCAGTGACAGCCTCTGTTTCAACAGCCTCCTGCCTCTCGTCCTCGGTGGCATTGTCCTCAATTTTCAGCCCCACGTCCGACGTGTTCTCGGGGAGCAACTCACTGGTGGAGTTCGTCTTAACAACCTCTACCTCGGTGGCATTCTCGGTAGCCGGCTGCGTGGTGGCATTATCTTTCGCATCGTCCTCGTACTCGGTGGCATTGTCAACAATTTTCTCCGCCACGTCCGCTATGTCTGCGCCGGGTGTCAAGCCGCTGGTCGCGTTCGGTTTGGTGGCCCCTGTCCTTGTAACATTCTCGGTAACTGTCCCTTCGAAGACATTATCTTTAGCAGACTCCTCCTTCTCCTCGGTGGTATTGCCCTCAGTCTTCAACACCACGTCCGACGTGTTCTCTGAGGACAACTCACTGGTGGTGTTCTCCTTGACGGCCTCTGTCTCGGTGGCATTCTCGGTAGCCGTCTGCGCGGTGGCATTATCGTTCGCAGCCTCCTCGTCCTCGGTGGCATTGTCCTCAATTCTCAGAGCCTGGTCCGCCATGTCTTCATCGGGTGCCAAAGCGCTGGTGGCGTTCTGCTTGGGGGCACCTGCCCCTATAACATTCTCGGTAATCGTCTTCTCGGAGACAGTATCTTTAGCAGCCTCCAGATCCTCGGTGGCATTGTCCTCAGCTGTGCCCTTGGGAGCCAAGTCATTCGAGGCGTTCTCTTGGGCAGTCTCTATCCTGGTAGCATTCTCGCTAAACGTCTCCTCGGTGGCATTCTGTTCGGCAGCCTCCTCCTCCTCCTCGGTGTAATTCCATTTGGCAGCCCCTGTCTCCTCCTTGTCCTCCTCCTCCTCCTCCTCCTCCTCCTCCTCCTCCTCCTCATCCTCCTCGTTGCCATTCTGCGTGGCAACCTCTGCCTCACCAACGTCCTGCTTCTCGCCCTCGGTGGCATTGGTCCCAACTTTCGCAGCTGCGTCCGTCTCCTTCTCGGGTGCCAAGCCATCGGTGACGTTCTCCTTGGCAGCATCTGCGCCTGTGGCATTCTCTCGGCGGCGAGCGAGGGGGGGAAAGTGAGAAAGAGAAGGCTTTCTCAGAAGGCGGCGGGACTTCTCAGAAGCGCCCTGTCCTTCTAAGGAGGTTTTCTGCGTCTTCGGGAAAGGCACAGAAAACTTCGCAGATGGATGGGGGTCTCCCTAGCCTCCTGAGGAGGCCGGTCCCTTCTTACCTCTTCTATCGAGAGGAAATGAAAACACATAAACATAAACTTTCGACGGTCCGCGCGGATCTGTTGGATCTGGGCCGGACCCCCCTCCCTGGCGCGCGGGGCGCGCCAGGGGCGGCGCCAAAGGCGCCGCCAGAGGGCCCCATCGCAGAACCGAGGAATCCGCGCGGAGCGCCCAAAAAGTTTACGTCCATGGCATATGGCGTTTCCTCTTTTGTTCGATTCTGAAGAGGCCTTCTCCTTCCCACTTCCCCCCCAGGCTCGCCGCCGATTCTCATGAGTCGCATCCTCAGTACCATTCTCCCCGGCGGCGCCCCCCTCCTCCTCGGTGCTGCTTCCCGTGGCGGCCCCTGCTCGTGGGCCACAAGCACGCGTCCGTGTCCGCGGCCTGGCGGGCCGGGCCTCCGGGTCGCCCGCGGATGCGAGGCGGTTTTGCTGCGGCTGCCCCGCGCAGAGCCCAGACCCTCCCGCGCTGTGACAAACAATCACGACGGGAGGTGTTTCGCTAACACTACGAAGCGACGGAGAGCCCCCGCTGGTCTACCGTCAACACCGGCACGAAAATTAAAATTTGCCTGGCGAAGGACCCAACCATATGCAGTTGTGAATACCGGAATTGTGAGTATCTGTGCCGGTGGCGCTCCCTATGAGGCCACGAACCGCATGAGGGGTGCGCCGGATTGCGTGGCGGGGTGCACAACATGAACGAAGACGGTTGGTCTAATACCGAGAAACTGAGTGCGAGTGAGTCTGAGCGCGAGTGAATCTGAATGTGAATGGATCTACGTGCGAGTGGCTATATATGCATGAATGCGAGCATGGCCACCCCTGGTGTGTGTATGTATATATATATATATATGTGTGTATATATGTATACACACACACAGAAAGAAGGTGAAGGATTCGCGCGTGCCTGACCCTGAGTACTCGCGACACTGAACGCTGCCGCCGCAGGAAGCCACCCATGGAACCCCGACAGCAACGCCCGCGCGCCGCGACGCCCATGTCGGCGCGCTCCGCTCGAGGATCGCGCCCGCCTCCTTCCCGTTATTCTCGTCCCTCGCTGCCCGCGCGCGCCCAATGTCCACGGCTGCGGGCTCGGCGCCGCGCGGAGCCCCCGCGACGCGCGCCGGTCGCCCCGGAGGGGTTCCGGCGACGCGCGCGGGTCGTCCGCTGCGCGGAGCAGACAGAGCTAGCTGGCTGGCTGACAGCGGCCAAGGCTGTGGCCGCTGGGCAGAGCGACGACGGGGGCGAGCGAGGCTCCGGGCAGAGCGCAGCGCGGAATTCCCGCGACGCGCGCTGGTCGCCCCGAGGGGTCCCAGCGACGCGCGCTGGCCGCCCGCGGCGCGAGGCCAAAGAGTCTGACCGTCGACGGCGAGGCTCTGGCGGGCCGCTCCTCAAGTCAAGCCTCGCGGATAAACTCGGTGAGGTTCAGCCCCCCTGGCGAGGGCCGCCGCCTCCCTCCTGCACCGTTTCGCGCGCGTGGCAGACTCCTCCAACTGCTTCCGCAAGCCCTCCGGCGGCCCTGCCAGGAAGAACTCGATGCGCGGCGCCCGCATGAGCAGGAGGTCCTCGTGGCGCGTGGCGCGCGAGAGCAGCACGTAGAACTCCAGCCGCCAGTCGTCGTCCTCCATCTTGCCTTTCCCCACCTCGTGACGGCCGCAGTCCAAGATCACGCCTGGGCGGTGTCGGCCGAGGGAGCAGCGCGCCGGACAGCCGACGGCTCACGGCAAGAGTCCACACGGGACCGAAGGAAGGTCTGGCTGTGGGGCCCCGACACGTGTGAGGGATGTGCCAAAATGGGGCGGCGGCGCTAGCGAACTGCGCCACTAGGACCTTAAGTGGAGCTCCCTGTGGGGCCACGAAGCGTGTGAGGGGTGTGCCGAAATTGGGCGGCGGCGCCGTGCGAACTGCGCCACTGCGACCTTAGGTGGAGCTCCCTGTGGGGCCACGACACGTGTGAGGGATGTCCCAAAATGGGGCGGCGGCGCCATGCGAACTGCCCCACTGGGGCCTTAGGCGGAGCTCCCTGTGGGGTCACGAAACGTGTGAGGGTTGTGCCAAAATGGTGCGGCGGCGCCATGCGAACTGCGCCACTGGGACCTGGGGTGGAGCTCCTTCTGGGGTCACGACACGTGCGAGGGGTGTCCCAAAGTGGGGCGGCGGCGCCATGCGAGCTGCGCCACTGGGATCTTAGGTGGAGCTCCCGATGGGGCAACGAAACGTGTGAGGGGTGTGCCAAAACGGGGCGGCGGCGCCATGCGAACTGCGCCACTGGGACCTTAGGTGGAGCTCCCCGAGGGGCCACGAAAAGTGTGAGGGGTGTGCCACCATGGGGCGGCGGCGCCATGCGAACTGCGCCATTGCGACCTTAGGTGGAGCTCCCTGTGGGGTCACAAAACGTGTGAGAGGTGTGCCAGAATGGGGCGGCGGCGCCATGCAAACTGCGCCATGGGGACCTGAGTCCTTACCGGGCCTCAGGACCGTCAAAAGACGACTTGGGACGACAAACAAGTCCCAGGGAATGGGTTCAGACCTCTTCCCCGGAACTGGTTTTCCATACTGAATCGTTCTCTGACGGTCCCAGGGCCCAGTACCCCCCAGAGGCTCCAAATAGCGAAAGACCTCCCGTCGTGATTTTTTTCACGACGCATGGGGGTGTCTGGGGGGGTCTGGGAACGTGCCCGTGCGACAGCACATCTGCGGCATCGCGCCCCGGAGCCCAGGCCGCGAGGGCGCGGTCACGGACAACTTCGCCGCCCGCGACCTGCCCCACCTGCATCCTCGGGAGGGAGGCCCAGCTGCATCTCGAGCGGCGCCTTCTGCCGGGGCGGCAGCGCCTCCCCGGGAGACATCCCGCTGCTCCCAATCCTTTCGATGCGTGGGCCCCCGAGGTCCGGACCACTTCCCCAGGGCGGGCTTTACGTCCTGAGCTGCTTTTTGCAGACGCGACAGTTCTCTACATCGCTGCCCATGCATGTTTGCTACGAAGAGGAGCCAATCGCGCTCTCTTCTGCCTACGCGGCCTGCCGGATGCTTCGCTTCCTGCTGCTGCTGCTGCAGAAGCCCGGCGAGGGACCCTGAAGGCCGAAAACGGCCAAAGACCGCCAGCTCCCATTTGTCGGAGCGTCGGATCTCTGGCATCGTCCGACACGGGTCGAGGTCCGGACCACTTCCCCGGGGCTGGCGTGTCGTCCCGAGTCGTCCCTTGACGCTCCCGAGGCCCGGCGAGGGCCCCCAGAGGCCAGACATCCGCCCGCTGGATCTCTGGGTTCTGCCGGGGCGCCCGCTCCGACGACCAGCCTGAACACAATGCACCGTCGCCAAAATCACGACCGGAGCCCCGGACCCCATCTGCGAGCGACGATCCACAGCGGGTCTTACGCGACTTGTGGCATGGCGACCTCACGCAGCAGCTTAGGCGGGCCGGCAGCGTGGCACGCCACTATAGTTCTGGAGTGCTTTCGAAAATTTGGGAAGGTCAGGGGAAGTGGAGGGGGGGGGGTCCTAGAGATCTGACGCTTTGAAGGAACTTGAACAAGTATTTTTTTGCCGTTTTTGGCCTCCAGGGTGCCTCGCCGGGCCTCGGGAGCCTCAATGAAACGACTCAGGACAAAAAAAAGGCAGCGGGGAAAGGGTGCGGGGATCGCGTGGGGCCCAGGCATCGAACAACATTGGAACTGCTGGGTGTCTGGGGTCGAAATGGAGGGGGGCTTCGCGAACCGGCCCGCGCTGCAGTTTCTCCTGGCGCCAGAGGCGCCCACGTGTCGAGGAAAGCGCCTTGCGGCGGAGACGGAACTACACGCAGCGGTTTTCGGACACAGACGCGCACGCACGCACGCACGCACACACAAACACACACACACACACACACACACGCCCCCAGGCCCGCCCGCCCGGCCGCCCGGCCGCCCGGCCGCCCGCCCGCACGTATGCAAGCACGCACGCACGCACGCGCGCACGCACGCACGCGAGCGCGCGCGCGCACCCGCACGCGCACACGCACGCACGCGAGCGCGCGCACGCACGCGCATCGCGCAACGCGCACCGCGCATCGCGCATCGTGCATCGCGCATCGCGCATCGCGCACGCGCACGCACACGCACACGCACTCGCACACGCACACGCACGCGAACACACGCACACGCACACGCACACACACAGGCACACACACATACGCTCTCTCTCTCTCACACACACACGCACACACGCACACACAACACACACACACACACAACACACACACACACCCACACACCCACGCACGCACGCACGCACGCACGCACGCACGCACGCGCGCGCGCACGCACGCACGCACGCACGCACGCGCGCACGCTCGCACGCACGCACGCACGCACGCACGCACGCACGCACGCACGCACGCGAGCGCGCGCACGCGCGCACGCACGCACGCACGCACGCACGCACGCACTCGAGCGCGCGCACGCGCGCACGCACGCACGCACGCACGCACGCGAGAGCGCGTGCGCGCGCGCATCGCGCATCGCGCATCGCGCATCGCGCATCGTGCATCGCGCATCGCGCATCGCGCATCGCGCACGCGCACGCACACGCACACGCAAACGCACACGCACGCGAACACACGCACACGCGCTCACACACACGCACCTACACACACGCACACACACACACATACGTACACGCACGCACGCTCGCACGCACGCACGCACGCGCGCACGCACGCACGCAACCACACACACACACACGCGCATTCACGCACGCACGCACGCACACACACAGACACATTCACACACACACACACACGCATACACACACGCACACACGCATAAGTACACACACGCACACACACACACACGCACACACATACACACACACACACATCGCACACAGACACACACACACACATACACACACACACCCTTTCCCCGTCCACCCCATTTCCCAGAAGGGCGACGTCGCGAACCAAATGCAACGTCGCAAAACAAATCACCGCCAAAGACCTCTATAGACCTCATCTCCCTCTGGCATCTCTCGAGCCGGCTACGAGGCTCGAAACCTGGTAAAACGCCCAGGGTGGAGACAAGCGCAACGCCCAGGACCTCAGCGCCCAGTCCAACTCCGCTCAAAGTCGGTCCTCGGACCCTGTCCAGGTCCATTCTGACCCGTTTGAGGGGCGGTTCCGGCCGTGACGCTGAATAGCCCCCAGGGAGCCCAGAAACCCGACGTCGCGAAGAAATCAAAACATCGTGAGAAATCAAGGCCGAACCGACCTGCGCCATTTCTCGAGCCGGATCGATCCGTGAGGGTCCCAGGGCCCAAATCAGATTGGAATCTCGCCAAGCATGAACACATTGCGACGCCCAGACCTCAGGGAAGATCGAGACGAGCCCTCCTCCGAGACTACACCTTGTCCATCGTCCCATGTGTCGGCGTCCCAGGGATTGGCAAGATCGGCGCGACGTGGGATCAGCTGACAGCACATGTCCTCCCCGAACAGATAACATAATCCGCCCCGTGCTGCGCAGCGAAACTGCCCCGCACGGGCCCACAATATTCGGACGACGACAAGGATGACGACGGCGACGATGTCGACGATGACGTCGAAGACGACGACGAAGACGACGACGACGGCGACGCCGACGACGACGATGACGACCAACGACGGCAGCGGCGGCGGCGGCGGCGGCGGCGGCGGCGACGACGACGACGACGACCCACACCCCCGACGTCGACCCCCTGAAGTCTGGACCTCTTCCCTGGGACGGGCTCTTCATCCTGAGTCGTTCTCTGACGGCCCCTGGGCCCGGTGACGCCCCCCGGGAGGCCGAAAATGGAGAGAAACCTCCCGCCGCGGTATTTTCGCATCGCGAGGGGGTCTGTGGGGAGGGAAGGGTCCTCGCGTGGCTCGTCGGCCAGCCCCTTCGGCCCGCGGCCGGCCGGGTGCGGGCCGCCCCCTGGAGGCCGAAAACCACGAAAGCCCCCCCCCTTCCGGGTCGTGACTTTTTCGCGACGCGCGGGGGTCTGGGGACGAACGGCACCAGCCAGGGGAGGGCAGCCGCGCGGCTGTCTCGGCGGGCCCTTCGGAAGGGGCCTGGGTACACACACACACACACACACGCACACACACACACACACAC